CATCTCATATGCTGCTCCTGGTCCTCATGTGTTCCTGGTTGTGATCCAACCAAATAGATTCACAGAAGAAGAACAAAAAACTGTCAAACTAATTCAGACGGTGTTTGGAGAGAAGGCAGCAGTTTACACCATGGTGCTGTTCACTCATGGGGATGACTTGGAGGAGGAGGAGGTCTCCATAGAGGACTTCATTCATAGAAGTTCACCTCTCTGCACTTTCGTCAATCAGTGTAGGGGAGGTCATCACGTCTTCAACAACAGAAACCGGGAACCATCTCAGGTCCGAGAGCTGCTGAGGAAGATCAACACAATGGCTCAGAAAAATGGAGGAAGCTTCTACACCAACGATATGTTACAAAAAGCCGAGAAAGCTATAAGAGCAGAGACTAAGATAATTCAGAGGAGCAACCCAGGTACGGATCCTAACAAGGCAAGGAGAAAGGCGGAGGAGAAAAACCAGTTTGTTCGGGATGCAGTAAAGGTTGGAGCTGCTGCTGGAGGGGCTGCAGGAGTTGGCCTTGCTGTTGGAGCTGTTGCTGGTCCCGTTGGAGCTGTTGTTGGAGCTGCTGTTGGAGCTGGTGTGGGACTGGCAGTAGGAGCTATAACTGTAGCTGTGAAGAAGGATGCCTGTGTCATACAGTGAATGTTTGGTTATAGTTCTCTATTTAATCATAAAAACATCAGCATTATGCTTTTTGCTTCCTGCATCATTTTAACAACGTTAAATGTTTAATTCCAGAGAAGCTTCAGGTTGATGGTTGATCATTAGTGCTGATCGGCCTGAAGGAGCTCATAGATTAACTGGATTTCATTCAACTTTATCTCAAAAATCTAAAACAGAGAAACAATTTTAGAAATATTCATAAATAAAATCAAGACTTGATTCCTGCCGAGTTTTTCTTTTCCTCACAGTTTAATTGGATATGATGTTAGTTTAGAAGCTTGTTGGAGTTAATTTGATGCAATCTGTCAGGTTTCATCAGATTAACAGGCTGAACTCGGCTGCAGTGTTTGTTGATGAAGTCATGTTCATAAATCAGAACATGGTTTTAGACAGACAGGTGTTCATCAAACTGTTTCACATTGCTGGTTAAGATCTGATGCATTAAAAAAATCTTAAATATTATTTTTTAAGCCATAAAATAATCCTAAATAACAGAAACAAATGATTGAAACCATAAAATTAGCTGAGATTTTATCTGTATGGAATAAAAGAACCAGAATGTTTTCATTCATGTCTCTGTACTGTTGGACCAACTGATTTAATGTCTCTGTGTAACACTGGAGGTTTTCAGCCTTAGACGACTTTTGTTGAGAATATTTACTGCTTGAATAAACTGCATTGAAATTAAAACAACATAAATCGGAAAAAGGAAAATTGTAGCTTAAAGCTTTTTTTCTTATGCTTCTGTAGGAGGAGTCGTGTTAAAGGACAGATTATGAAACGTTGGAGTCAAACTTCCATTGTGTTTGTGTTGAAGAATGACTTCCTCCTGCAGCTTCTGTATCTGATGTGTTAATAAAAGATATTTCAGAAAACCAGACTCTGATCTTTTTTGAAGCTGCATGTCTTCTCTGACTGTGGATGTGTGAGCAGTGGCCCAGATAATCCCAGAGGTTCTGATGAACTCTGTTGTTTCCAGGCTCACACCTCAGAGTGGTGCTGGTGGGTCAGGAGAGAGTCGGGAAGAGCTCAGCAGGAAACACCATCCTGGGGAGGAAGGAGCTGGACTGCCGGTTCAGCTCCGTCCCTGTGACCCTGAACCCTCAGAAGGTAGAAGGTGATGTTGAAGGTCGCAGAGTTTCTGTGGTGGACACCCCGGGCCTCTTCAGCAGCCTCATGCCTGCAGAGCAGGTGAAGAAGAAGCTGCTGGAAGCGCTGGAGCTGAGCTCTCCTGGTCCTCACGTCTTCCTGCTCACCCTGCAGCTGGGAAGGTTCACCCCCCAGGAGCAGAAAGGAATGGAGGTGCTGCAGAAGATGCTGAGTCCTGATGTCTCCAAACACACCATGCTGCTGTTCACCTACGGAGACCGACTGGAAGANTTTTTGAAGCTGCATGTCTCCTCTGACTGTGGATGTGTGAGCAGTGGCCCAGATAATCCCAGAGGTTCTGATGAACTCTGTTGTTTCCAGGCTCAGACCTCAGAGTGGTGCTGGTGGGTCAGGAGAGAGTCGGGAAGAGCTCAGCAGGAAACACCATCCTGGGGAGGAAGGAGCTGGACTGCCGGTTCAGCTCCGTCCCTGTGACCCTGAACCCTCAGAAGGTAGAAGGTGATGTTGAAGGTCGCAGAGTTTCTGTGGTGGACACCCCGGGCCTCTTCAGCAGCCTCATGCCTGCAGAGCAGGTGAAGAAGAAGCTGCTGGAAGCGCTGGAGCTGAGCTCTCCTGGTCCTCACGTCTTCCTCCTCACCCTGCAGCTGGGAAGGTTCACCCCCCAGGAGCAGAAAGGAATGGAGGTGCTGCAGAAGATGCTGAGTCCTGATGTCTCCAAACACACCATGCTGCTGTTCACCTACGGAGACCGACTGGAAGACACCGACATGGAGCAGTTCATCAGGGAGGACACCAACCTTCAGAAGCTGCTGAAGAGCTGCAGCGGCCAGTACCACGTGTTCAACAACAAGAAGATGGAGGACAGGAAGCAGGTCCAGGAGCTGCTGGATAAGATCCAGGAGATCTCACAGGATGGCAGCTTGATTTATCAGAGAGAAGCTCAGTCTGGAAGCTGGTCCTCCCTTTTAACATGCACATTGTTTTAGTATAAGAAACAGACGTGCTGATAAATGTTTCCCTCAGAGGTTTAGCAACATCTCTACAACCAGAAGGAAGTCCTCAAATATTTCACTAAAGGTTCCTATGATAAGGTGTCTGAAGAACTCTGATGTTCCCTGTGATCCACTTCAGAAGCTCATGTGCTCTGATGAATACAAATAAATGATAAATGGCCTCTACTTATAAAGAGCCTTTTCTAGTCAGGAGATTTGACCAAAGCGCTTTACACCACATTCTATCGTTCCCTCACACACTGATGGTGCTAAGCTTTATTGTAATTTTCTATACACAGAGTGTATACAAAACTAAATTACATTGCTTCCAATAGTGAAATGAACATTACCATTATAAAGTGCGGCAGTGATCAGCATGTAAACAGCAGAAAAGGAAAACAATGTAAAAAATAATGGTGCCAAAAGGGCATCAATATGGCAATGCAAAATAAATATGGTGCAACATGCAATAGAACTTTGAGTTTTGTTCTATTTTAAAGGGTATTAAAAGTTTCAGCTACATTGGTAGTGCAGCATAATGTTGCAAGTGTGATGCAGAGTCCAGTTTAGAGTTCAACAGTAACAGTCTGATGGCAGCGGGGTAGAAGCTGTGCAGAATGTGCTGGACCTGCATCAAATGCTATGAAGACTATTTCCAAAGGGCAGCAGGGAGAACAGTCCATGGTGGGGGTGT